GGGAAATCGTGCAACTCAGGTTGGGACTTGAGCCCCAAGGGCCGGGACTCGAACCCAGCCAAAACCCAGACTAGGACTTGAACCCATGTTCTTTGAACTGAGATCACACACCACCTGGTCTCAGGACTTAAATGAAGCTCAGGTTCTTGATGTCTCATTGCAGAAAGAATTCAGTGAGAGACAAAGTGGTAGGTAAGAAGTGGATTTCTTTAGAGAGAAACACGCTCCACAGACAGACTGTGGGCCATCTCAGTTTTTATAGGGGTGGGTACTTTCATAGGTTAAGGAGTGGGAGGAGTATTGCAGCTATTTTGGGGAAGGGTTGGGGATTTCCAGGAATTAGGTCACTGCCCACTTTTTGACCTTTATGGCCAGCCTTGGACGGAACTGTCATGGCGCCTGTGGGTGTGTTACAACGAGCATATACTGAGGGCTCAAGGTCAGTGGAAGTCAACTTGTCCGCCACCTTGGACCTATTTGGTTCTAAACAGTTTATGTCGTGTCCTTGGGCTATGTCATCCTTTCAAAGGTTGTGCCCTGGCCCCTTCCCTCCTGTTTCACAAGGACAGCACAGGCAAAGGCCCGGAGGCAGGCGGCTGCAGCAGCTCAGCCTAAGGTGGGCCTGGGGTGTTCAGCAGGGCTCAGCACGTTCGCGGGAGCCCCAGCTTGAGGTGGGCAGTGCCGCCCTGGGCTAGCTACTCAGTGCTGTAAAAGGGGCAGAGCCATACGCCCCCTCAAGGTTGCCCTGCGTATTAAAAATAAGGCTCACGGCTTCCCTGGTGGCGCAGTGGTTGAGAGTCCACCTGCCGATGCTGGGGACACGGGTTCGTGCCCTGGTCCGGGAAGATCCCACATGCCGCGGAGCGGCTGGGCCCGTGAGCCATGGCCGCTGACCCTGCGCGTCCAGAGCCTGTGCTCCGCAACGGGAGAAGCCACAACAGTGAGAGGCCCGCGTACTGCAAAAAAACTAAAAATAAAAAAATAAGGCTCAGAGCCTGGGCCAGGAAAGACACATAATAGATTGGTGACTGTAATTAAGTCCACCCCAGTCTCAGAGTTTATCAAGGGACAGCCTCTTTCACCTCCCTGGCTCCCCACCCCCAGCCGGCACAGAGTTGGGCCCCCAGCAGGGCTGAGAGGCTGACTGACTGATTCAGTGCCTCCTTGAAGCCTGAGAAAAGGACCCACTATGTGCTGGAATATACCACCGACCACAGCTACACTCGCCCCACGCCCGGGTCTGTCTCAACGTGCCGGCGACTCATGCACCCACTCATCCATGCTCTCATTCGCTCATTCATTCGTTCAATGACCACGGCTCTGGGCCCACCCTGAGCTCAGCTGTGAGCGCCCAGAGGTGAGCCCAGCCCAGCCCCTGCTTGGAGCAGCGCTCCCTGCTCCTCGCGGAGCCACAGCTGAAGGTGAGACTCCTCCCCTGCCCCTCCTCCCTCCTGAGCCCCTGCAGGCTACCCTACACCGACCCCCCACTTCTGTTTCCTCAGGAGGTTGTGTTCACTGCCCTCTCCACAGCCAGGGGGCCTTCCCCAAATCCCCGCTGCACCAAAGGCCAAAGTGCTTTCCTTTCGTCTAAAACTCAGCAGGCGGGTAACACAGCCCTCTCCTGCCCACCCCACGCCCGCCCCCAGCGGGCAGCCTGGGAGCCCAGGGCACTCAACTGTCCCCTCTGTCCCCCCAGCCCAGGGAAAGTCTGAGCCTCAGGCACCCACACTCCTCATCAACTGCAGGTTTCGACCAATTATCTGGAGAAAAGAGGAAGGAAAGGAAAAATATTTCAGCCACCAAATCAAGCTATGGACAGAACCACGGAGTATATCCCAGGCACTTCCACAGGAGCATCCCCACTTAACATCCCTGCGTGTTCTGCGACACTATGTGCTGTGCTCACGCTCTCTGCCAGGGCTTTGCCTGCAGGTGCGGGGCCACCCCGCGCAGGGGTGAAGAGCCCTACACACCCACACACCCCCTGCAGAAGTTGCAGATCGGATCCACAGTGGGCTGGCTGCCCTTCTAGGAGCCCATGGTTTCAAGTCCACGTTTATGGAGCGCTCCCCCCGTGCTGTGCGCCCGCCAGGAACAGACACGCAAAGGAGACACAATCCAGGTGCAGGGAAGAGAGAGAAGCAGATGAGCGAGGTGGTGGGCCGTGAAGGGGGTCTGTGTAAAAGGCTTCAGGGGCCCGGAGGAGGGAGCGGAATGGCAGAGGAGAGGGCGGAAGAGACAAGCTCTGGGGGGAGCAGGGGACGGGGGCCCTGCAGGCAGGTGAGGGGGGCAGAGGAAGCAGCCCAGTGAGCGGAAGAGTGTGGGCAAAGACCCGGCGGCCCGGCTTCCCTGTGCCATCCTCAGGTCTCCCACACTGTGGGGAAGAAGGAACGGGATCGCTTGCTGAGAAGCCCCTGCTGTGCACCAGGCAGGAAAGCTTGGTGGGTGAGGAGGTGGCCTCTGGACACAGAGGCCTGGCTGGGAATTTCCAGTCCACCACTGACAAGCTCTGTGATCTTGGGAGCACTTAGTTCCCAGGCTATGTTTCCCCATCTGTATAATGGGAATAACAACAGAACCCTCCCCCAGGGCTGTCCTGAGGATTGAAAGGGGTGTCCCACGGAGGGAGAGCTCCCAGGCCAGGGTCCTCCAATGTGAGCGTGCAAACACATGGCCTAGGAGCTACATACGTGTAGGTCTCAGGGTTCCATTGCCAGCCATTCTGCCTCTGCCGCCCTGCTGGGGCCTAGGAATCTGCATTTTCAACACACGCTCCCCAGATGATTCTGAGACAGGCGGCCAGAGGACCACACTTTGAGAAATACCTGTTCAACGCATGTGTGCTGTTACGATCATTTATTTTCATTGTCTTCTCTGCTGCTCCGACAGCCCTGCAAAGTCTGAACTGGTGACTCATTTCACAGGTGAGGAAAGGGGCTCAGCGCAGCAGGCTCCAGGTCACACAGCCAGTGATAAGCCGGCATAGAACCTGCACCGGGTCTGTCCACCCCCAAGCCTGAACCCCTCCCAGCAAGATGTCGTAGGGCCCCCTCCCTGGTCAACTTATGTCCTGGCAGAGGCCTTGTTATCACACTCCCCAGCCCACCCACACCGCCTCCATTGTCACTTCCCCCTCCAGCTACTAATCAGGTCCCGCAGACCATCCCGTTTCCTGCCGGCCCTCGGGCTGCCTCCTTTGCCCCTGATGGTACCTTCCTGGCCTTGTGTCCTCCCGTCACCTCCTCTGCCTCCAGAAGGGTTGGAATCGGGGCTGGGCAGTGGCAGAAATCGGGCAGGAGACCCTGAGGGGACCCTCAGGGGCACGAGCTTCCCTCCGTGGCCTGGACTACCTCTCTGTGAAGGCCCCATTCCCAACCCCCGGGGCACACGCCCGGATGACCAGCCCCTTGTTTACTAATGACAGGAACAGCGGGGTTTCAGGGCAGAGTCAACTTCCTCCCAGACTGAGATCACAAAGGGATGGTGCCAGGACAAACCCCATCCCTGTCTGCCACCAGGGCTGAGTCTGAGACCCAGCAGGAAGTGATGCCCGGGCCTGGACCCAACCTCACGGGCACACAGACCACAGGGGCAGGCAGTCGGCACAGGCGGGTGTGAGAAGTCAGGCTGAGGCATGAGGGACGGAGCCCTGAGCTGGTCCTGGCTTCTCTGTGGCCACCCCACCCCCTGGCAGGAGAAGGCAGAGTTAATCCTGTTGGAGAAAAAAGTGCTGAGCTTTTGTTTGTTCATTCCACGAACAGCCAGTGATGTGCGGCTTCCCGCGCAGAGGCCCGCCTCAGGACCATCCTCCCTCCAGCATCGTCGTCCGCCTTCCCTGCTGCTGGAGTCCCCTCAGCACACAAACATGCCAGCACTGCTTTAAAACACAACCTAAAAGCCGCCCATCTCTCTGCTCCATTCACTGCAAGTCTGGGGGAAGGAGCCGGGATCACACGCCTCTATTTCCTGATCGCCCTGCACCAGCCGCCGCCCCCCTCAGTCCCCCATGTCTACTCCTTTCCCTTTAACGTGCTCTGGTCACAGCCATCAATGACCTCCCACTTCCAGATCCAGTGGTCAAGTCTCAGTGCTCACCTTTCCCAGGCTGACCCAGCCAACACCCCTGGCTTCCCTCCTTGCTCCCTGGGCTCTCTCCTAAGGAAGCTACAAATCTCAGAGGCCCGGGGCCTCCCTCCCTGTAAGCTCGTCCGCTGCCAAGGCCTCAGGTGCCAGCCACACGCTCAGGGCTTCCAAACTCACCTCCAGGCTGAGTGTCTCCCACTGTCTCCAACTGTCTCCACTAAATCCACCCCCGTCCCCAACTGTATCCACCTATATCCAACTATCTACCTCCATCTCCAGCTGCCAATCTGACATGGCCACTTGGGTGTCTAAAAGCCATCTCAAACTCAACATGCCTGGAACAGGGAAATCTTTATCTTCCCCTCCCCCAAAAATACCCTCCCACTCCATTCCCCATCTCCACACCAGTGTCCACTGACTTAGTGCCCCTGGGCAAGGCTCTCTCCCTCTCAGGTCTCTGTTTGCCCAGCTGTATAAGAGAACCAGTTCGGGACTTCCCAGCCATTCATCCATCCATGGAAAAACAGGGGCAACTAGTCGAAGATTTCCACTACCTGCCCTGGGAGATTCCAAATCAGCTGGACTGGGGTGGGGCCCCGGTATCCGCAGTTTGTAAAACCTCCTCTTGTAACTCTCGTGATTCACAGACTCTGAGCGCCTTCTGCCCACAGCTTCTTGGTTCTAACGGTCCCTGGTCCTGCCTTCAGCTTCCCCATCTTCCACGCCCCTCTTGGACTCTTGTCTATCTCAACAGCCATGTGAGGCTGAGGTTATATGATCCCCATTTTACAGAAGAGGAAACTGAGGCTGGGGTCGAGGTGCATGACTGGCCCATCAGGCACCTGGCTCCGCCCGATATTCCTAAACCCAGACGGCGCACCCCTAACCCCCAACCCAGGCCCACGCCCACCGGAAGTCAATCCAGTTCACAGACCCAGGAGCTGCAGCCTGTTCCCATCTCCTACCCACCCCACCGCAGGGGCCCCTGAGGCCTCCCCAGCCACTGCAAAGTCTGCCCCTCCCCCAGCATGTCATGGAGTCGCCTGGGAAAATCTGGCTCTGGGCCCGGGGTGACCCAGGCTGGATTTCTGGCTGTGCTACGCCCCAGCTGAGTAGACAAGCACCTTAAACTTGCTGAGTTTCAGCGTCATGAGCTATAAAGCAGGGGTGACGGCACCTGCCCTCAGGGTCACAAGGAAGATGAACGAAGCCCCTCGGCAGGTGTTGGGCTCAAAGCCCCAGAGATGAGGCCTGGGGTTGGGGCCCGAGTTAAGCGTCCCGGCCAAGTCCAGGGCTAGGCCTCCATGGGGACAGCCCAGCTGGGCCGAGGAGGCCGCCCACCACGGGGCCTGCCTCTCTGCAGCCAGCCCGGCCCTCACAAACGAACAATAACAGGAAACCATCCTTGGTGGGGGTGGGGGGGTGCACATGGGCCAGGGCCAGCTGGAAAACCTGAAGGGGCGGCGGCCAGGCCTCCCTCACCGCCGGGTGGGGCTCCCCTCCAGAGGCTGTTGGCCGAGCTCTGCACAGTTCCACGGCACGCTCAGCCCCGGCCGGACAGCCAGACGGAACGGACACACCTCTCAGCCCACAGGCAAGGTGAGTGAGGGTCCCTGACTTCCCCATGCGTAGAATGGTCATCATCGGCTCCCAGGGAAGCGCCACTCCTTGGGGTAGACTGGGTCTCCTGGCTCACAACAGAGCTGGGAAAGGTGCGCCCAGGGCTGGTGCCGCGGACACGAAGGGATGTTCTCGGGGAAGAGGCAAGCTCGGCTCTCCCACAGGTAGACTCCCAGACTCAAGGGCCCACTGGCTTCTGTGGGTGCTGGGCTCAGATGCTAAGAGGGCAGGATTCCGCCTGAGTCGCCCAGCATGCCAGGGGCAGAGGACTGGCACCCGAGTGGTGCCCCTTCCCCCACGAGAGAGGATTTACCACGGATGACATCATCCCATCCCCTCGAAGGCTCTGTGCTGGGATTGGGAGAGGAGCCCTGGAAGGGGAGCTTGGAGCCTCGCCCCTCCCTGTCAGCCACTGCCCCCATTTTCAGTACAGGCACGCTGAGGCTTGACTCTGGGCACCTGAGGCCCTACCTGTGGAATCCCCTCCCCTCCTTCCCCAGACACCATAGGGGCCGGTTACGAGCTGCGGAAGCTGTAGTTTTTCTCCCCCAAAACCGAGATACCCGTAGATTGGGGCCCAAGGGACCCAGCAGCCCTCATAATCTTAGAGAAGTTCCCCCCAAAGACTTGGAGGCAGGCGGTCTAGGGTGAGAGCCGTCCTGGATACAAATCCCAGCTCTACCACTCGCTTCCCGCGTGACTTTGGGAAAATTACTCAGTGTCTCCCAAACTCAGTTTGCTTCTCTGAACAACGGAGATAGCGATTGTTTTTGCGGTTCATCATGAGAGCTGGAAATGATGTCTACAGAAGGCTCTGCAGCACTGGAGCTCACTACTTTATATTACCAGCAAGCCGATGAATTAGATACAGCCTTTCTCCATTTCCCAGTTGAGGCAACTGAGATTTGGAGCAAGAACTCGTACCCCAAAGCCCAGGCTCTTCCCAGAACCATGCAGCTTCTCATGTGCCAGCCTCCTCATCTGTAAACTGCAAGAAAGGGTCTTTTCATGAGGCAATTAAAGGAAGCGATATACACACTTGGTACCGGGAACGGATCGTAGGAGGGGAGCTTTGAGAAATCACAGCTGAATTTACCTGCCACCCAGAGCTGACCATGGCTTGAGTGTCACAAAGGTTTTGACCCCTGAGGTCGGTCCGTCCCCAGTAGGTGAGAGATGCATCAGCTCATCCTCCAGCGGGCGCTCTGGGCAGCTACTCCACGCCAAGCACTATGCTTGTTCCTCACCCCCACCCCACGGACATTTCTGCCATGGGTGGTGGGCAGACAGGATCCTGACAGGAGACGAAGGGCATTCCAGGGGAGGCAGGGAGCCTGGGCAGCTCATTGGACCTGGAGAGGCCAGTGCAGCCAGAAGGTTTTCAGAGCAGGGAGTGGCAGGAGGGCCAGTGATGCAGAAGGCTATGAGTAAGTAGCAGGACCGAGAATTTTGGTTCATCTTCAGGTGATGGGGAACAGCGGGACCCTCCCATCTGGCCTGAGTCCAGCCATGTGTGGGTGCCAGCCTGGAGGTGATCGAGGGGCCCAGGAGCTTCTGCGCCCCCAGGCAGCCCTGCTAATTCTGGCTTCCAGTGGTGAGGGGGTAGGCGAGGGGCCCACTGGCCTTGCAGGGGTTAAGCTGCCCACCCTGCAGTCTAGACCTGAGCGATTGTGCTGCTGAACAAGGGCCGGACATGGGAGCAGGAAGCTGGAGGGGCCATGCTTATTTTCTCCCATAGCTGGATGACTCACAGCTCTGCTGCTGCCTCGGGGATACACAGTGGACACACTGGCCACTAGCTCAGGGAAAAAAATCTTGAGCCCCTTGCCCATGGGATCCATCCCTTACTACTTCCATCACCTCTCTGCACCCCCTCGGCATCCTTGAAGCTACTAAAAGAATTCCCATTTGACAGACACGACCACAGAGTCTGAGAGAAGCTGAGCAGCCTGTCCAAGGTCACACAGCTACCATGAGGTGAAAGCAGGATATGAATGAGGCCAGCCCCTTCTGACCCCACTGCCCTGTCACACTCCATAGGGAAGCCTGGAGAGGGGAGAAGCCGGGGAGGATTGAACCTGACAGTTCAAGCCACAGAAGCAGGCACCAGGATGAGCCAGGAGCCCAATGATCCTGGGGGAGGAATGTTCTAGGAGACAACTGCTGCCCTCAGTAGCTTGGCTTCTGGCTGGAGAGATACTGACAAGCCCATCGTAACCCAGATCCAAGCTGATGTTGGGTGGAGAAATCACAGAAGACTCCCTGGAGGAAGAGCAGGAGCCCCAGAGGATGCTGGGAGGTCTTAGGCCTGCTGTCTGAGCTTCAGTCTTCTAATTTCTCTAGGGCAAGGGATGGACCATATAGTCTCTAAACTCATTCAGGGACCTCCAGATTGTCTGCCACAGCATAACGATCAGATTCTGGCAGGTGCAGACACTGGGAGGAGGGGGAAGGAGGGCCCATGGGGCTGGGCCAGGAAGGCAGTGAATGAGATTTCCTTCTAGAGGAGAACAGACAGGAGCAGGAGGTGGGCCCAGGGCAGAACCAGGAAATGAGGTCAGCTGTGAGTCGGCCAGTCAAGCCCACAGCTGCCAGGCCAGGCTGAGTGGGTAGGTGAGGGTTGAGACACCCACACATTTACTAAGCACCTACTGTGTGCTGGGCTTTGTACCCATGATCTCATTCAATCCTCCATTAGAGATGAGGAAGCTAGAGCTCAGAGAGGGCAAGGAATGGGCCTAAGGCCACACAGCTCATGAGCAAACAGGCAAGTGTGTGAGACTTGTGGCCGCCAATGACTGCCTCAGAGCCCCAGGCCAAGTCAGAAAGCCCAGAGGAGGCTGGAAAAGGCTCTCCCAAGGGTGGGTTTTCTCTCCTTCAAGCTTTGAGCTGCCCCATTAGGAGATAAGGGAATGACCCAGAGACCCCAGGACAAATTTGTTTCGAATCGTACACTAGGTCTGGTGAATTGGTTGTATCTAGCTCAAAGACTGTATTGAGGATTCAGGGGCTGAGTTCAAGTTCGGTGGGAAACGAACGCTGTAACTGATTAGTGATGTCTGCCGTGAGTATGTGAATGGCAACCCGTGATCTCTGTTTTGTCAGCCCTACCTTCGGAAGCCCCGTGCACACGGGTGTACGTTCATCAGGGACCCATAAGAAGGATAATCTGACTGTCCTCAAAGGATCAAAATCCTAATGGTGGTGTGCCTGACAAAGTGATGGGCCATTAGAGATGCTGTATGGTGACAGGAGGAGCTTCTCTGAGTTCTATCAACCACTGTATGTGCTCTGACCACCCAAGGTGTTGTAGGCAGATCTGTGCAGATTTGTTTTAAATCCTCTGAGGAAGGAGGCAAGGAGTGCAAGATCAGAGCTGGAGACCGAGGCAGGCTGACAGACAGCAGTAGGGACACCGACATCTCAAGGTCCTCTGGGCCTTGAGTTCACGCCGCTGGTTGCCGGGATGAAGTGGATGCCTGGTCAGAGACACTCGCGCCAGCAGGCAGAGGCTGCGCTGGAGCGGGAGCCAATCAGAAGACCTTGTGGGGGGTACGGACTGGGGCTTGAAGAGAAGCAGAGCATTACCCAGGGGCCACAGCAAGGAAGGGCATTCGGGCAGAGGGAACAGCCTGTGTATTCCATAAACGTCCAATTCTCCTCGAGGCTGGGTGGGGCAGGGAGGTGAGGGAGAGGAGAGCCAGAGGGGTGGCAGGGACACTCCGTGCTGGGTCTTGAATGCTGGCTCAGGAGCTAGGCTTCACCCTGCAGGGTGTGGGGAGCCAGGGAGGAGCGGTCAGCAGGGGAGCAGCGTGGGCAGCTCTGAGGGGAGCCGAGGGAGGGAGGCTGTTGGCAGAACCCGAGGGGAGAGGATCGGGTCTGGGACCCGCAAGAGCAGGTCACAGGGCTGAACTGAGCCCCAAACCAGGAAAAAGCCCCAAGGGGCCAGCTCATAGCTGCCCGGCCCCACAGCTCCTGGGGACTCACCCTTCATCCTCCCAATGCCGGTGATTTCTGAACGAGTTTGGGGGTCACTGGCTCCAACCTCGACCCCAGACTGAGGCTCGAGGTGTGGAGTGGGAGGGCGGTGGGAGAGCCGCCCAGGGCCACCCAGGGGGCAGGGGCTCTAGCGCCCTCACCCCCACCCCTGCAGGTTCTGGGCCTCTCCTCCCACCTCCTGGCCCCTCATCCCTGACCCAGGGCCTCTGGGCTGCAGCCCAGAGCCTGCAGGAGGCTGGGCTGGGACTGAGCGTCCAGTCCACCCTCCGCGGCTTTGCCTGGGGCTGGGCTCTGCTGTCAGGTCTTGTCCTAGCTGCTGGCGGGTGTGCTGGGCGGGAGAGGGGCCAGCCCCGCAAAGAGGAGACTCTTCAGGGGACAGGGGTGTGTGCTTGTGTAGGCAGCACGTTTGTGTGTCCATGTGGCCTGAGGATGTCATGTGTGAGGATGTCATCCCTGACCTGGAGTCTTCCTCTACCCCACCCCCAAGGGCCCTCCAGTCTGCTCAATAAATGCCCAGACTTAGCCCCTGAAACCTAAGGCTTGAACAGGGTCGGGGCAGAACCATCCCGGCCGGGGGAGTTTGCCATGCTGCCCGCTGAGCGGCTCCCAGCTGGTCCAGGCTTCCAAGGGTCTATTTAACTACAAAAGGAGGAGCCCCAACCCGCCCCCCTTCCATCTCCCTCTGGGTCCCCCTGGCTCCTTCTTTTAAAGAGCACAGAGCTGAGCGGACCTCACAGCCCCTTTGAAAAGGCCAAACACCAGTGACAGAGGGGGTCCTGAGAAACAGACCAAAGGGAGTTTTGCCTACTGTCTCACAGCAGATCAGAGAGAGGCAGGATTCACTGCTGGGCTGAGACCCTCCGAGAAATCAGGGTCCTCCCCTCTCTGCCCTCTCACATCTTCCTCTACGCCTCCATCAAAGCACCACAATTTGAAACTGTTTTTTATCAAGTGGTTAATGTCTCTACACAAGGGTGCAG